CACACACACACCCCGTGATGATGGCTACTTGCTGGAGCACTGTCCACTCTCAGGTCTTCCAGCTGTGGTGCACCCTTATACATCCCATAAATCATGCCCACGTAATGACCTCAGCAAGCAAAGGAGATTTCACAGCTCGTCTCTTTGTCTGTTTAAATTTAAACATCAGAAGTTTAAATTGATAAAGTAGAAGCAGGGTGGGTGAGGGTGTCCAGAGGATCAGCCTGTAGCCACCCCACTGTGTGTCCAAGGGAAGCTCCATCTGCCACATGCAGGGCAAATGGGTTTTAACCACAGGCAGATTGTGGCCCCCGAGAAGTACCAGAACCTCCTACTTCCTCCCCCATGAGTGAAATGAGGGCAGAACGAAGTCAGGCAGTTTCAGGCTGGACCTGCATGGGGCCTGTCTACACTCTACCCCCTGGATGAAGCTTGATTCCTGACTTCCCTAATTTTCATGGATTCTGTTAAGCAAATTCTTTTCTTAGCTTTAGTAAGTGCAAAGTGGCTAATACCGGTTTTCCAGCCAGATCAAGCTTCACAGTATGTCTTGTGGTTTGGGGAGTCCCGGAGATAAAGGAATGGGCCAGTGGCTGCACCAGCTAAAGCAGCAGAGCTTGGTTTTCCTGTGCCCCTAAAAGGCCCCTCTTGTGCATTCCAGTCGAAATGTGTCTGCCGAGCAGAAGGATGAGAACAAAGAAGCCAAGCCTCGCTCCCTGCGCTTCACCTGGAGCATGAAGACCACCAGCTCCATGGACCCCGGTGACATGATGCGGGAGATCCGCAAGGTCCTGGACGCCAACAGCTGTGACTACGAGCAGCGGGAACGCTTCCTGCTCCTCTGCGTCCATGGGGACGGGCACGCTGAGAGCCTGGTGCAGTGGGAGATGGAGGTGTGCAAGCTGCCCAGACTCTCCCTCAACGGGGTCCGCTTCAAGCGGATATCAGGGACCTCTATCGCTTTCAAAAATATTGCTTCCAAAATTGCCAACGAGCTCAAGCTGTAACCCAGTCACTACGGTGTCAGTTAAGTAGCAGTTTCAAGTGTTTTCCTGAACACTGAGGGATATTCACAACAATTTCTAGGCAATAACGTCCACATCTTCTAAATAATGGTATTAAAGTTTGAGAACGGGCACACGCCTGGGAGCGAGAGCTGGCCTTCTTTCTATCCACGCACTACATTAAAGACGGGTCACACAGCCCTCCGTCTGTCCTCACCCCCCTGGTCTGGTCTCCAGCACAGCACCCCGTCCATGGGTGAGTGTAAACAGTGCGTGTGGGGAGAGCCTGGGGTGGAGCGGGTTCACGTCTCTCTGCAGGAGATCATTTGGTGCTAAAACATTAAATTTGCCGAGGAGGAAAATACTGAATTACTACTGCGCATTAACCTTACGCCTTGTTGATGATTAATACAGGTTTACACTTCACGACTGTGGTTTTGTGTTTGTTGTTCCGTGGGGTTTTTTTAGTGCAAAAGGTTTAACTTTATAGTTGTGAACATTGCTTGTGTGTGTTTTTTCTAAGTAGATTCCAAGATAATTAAAAATTCACTTTTTCTCAGTAAAATCTTGCATTGTTTCCTAATGCTGTGTTTAAGATGCAGATTCGGGCCATCACTAAAGAAAGCCACATGTTTGCCCCCATCACTCAGCTGAACAGTGGAGGGGAAGTGGGCGCAGGTCGCTTTATCCGTATGTTGTGGTTATGAGCACGTCCCCACCCAAGGCAGGCAGTCAGCAGCCACCCGTCCTGCTGGCCTGGGGGAGGAGGTTCAGCCTTGGGTGTGCAGGCACTTGGCTTGGTTCTCCGTTGCAGTGTGTAATTTTCCTCTCATGTTGTGTCACTTGGTCCTGAATCAGACCTCCAGCTCTCCAGAGCCCTCCCCAGTGCTGCTACAACTGCTGAGCTGAGTCATCAGCTTGACACTGGAGTATCATGGGGCTGCTGTACTGGTTCAGGTTCTGGGTCCTTTTATCTTGTTCAAACTATGAAAGTTGTTCTTTGCACAAATACGTGGCGTCTGCAGTAGGCTGGGCAGTGCTGGGTGTTTGTTTACATTCCAGCAGGATGATGGGGTCAATGATTGAGTCTGAGAGAGGTGATAAATACCACACCAAAAAAGTTTGGGAGCTCAGGGAAGGCTTTTGGGAAGAGCATGTCTCCATGTCCTGTAGATGCAGGGTGCAGGGAGGGCAGAGGCCTTGGCTAAATAGTATTAGGAGAGCCGACACTTTTGTTCAGATAGGTCACAGGGCCTGGCCCAGGTTCTGTTTGGATGGGTTGTTTGGTGGCTGGGTGCAGGGCTGCTGGTAGGAATGGGGAACTGGTGGGCCACCCTTAGTGGTACAGACAGGACCTTGCTGGCCATGCTGCATTTCAGACGGGTTTCTTAATGAGTGAACGATGTGGGGTGAATGGAAAAGGGAGGTGCTGAGGATGGCCTGATATGTTTTGGGGCATTCCTTGGGTGGCACAAATGGTGAAGCACTTGACTACTAAGTTGGTAGTCTGCTTCCAGGAGGTCCCAGTTGGTCCCAGTTTTGAAAACCCTTACTTCTGAAAATACGTAATCATCACACCTTAAGAAAGGATGGCGTTGCTGTCTCTTGAACTCAGGAAGGCTCAGTAGAGCCTTTTGGGGTTAGGAAAGGACTCAGTCAGGAGCTCAGGGGTGGTGGACATGCTGAGTATGTGGTGCTTTATGTACCGTGTCATGCCTCCGTACTCTACCCCCTCTTGTCTTCAGCAGAGTCATTTACTGACTTCTTCAGATCCAGTTCCTCTCCAGGTTCTCTAACACAACACAGCAGACAAACGCACACACAAAGTTAGGGACCCCCGCCAGCCTTTTTTTTTCTTTAATCCTAAATTTTATTTATTTTATTGTTGTTGAGAATGTACACAGCAAAACCACATCCGTTCAATAGTTTCAGCATGTAAATGTAGAGACATTGATTATATTTTACTAAGTATGCAACCTTTCTCATCCTTCATTTCTAAACTGTTCCTCATTAACATAAACTCCCTACCTACTAAGGGGCAATCTTTCAGGTTCCTATTGTCAATTTGATCCTATATGGATAGTTCTTAAAAGAATTTAATACTCAAAGCAGAACTTTTTTACTAAAGATAACTTTTGCGCCAGCGTTGTTTACATCCCCTTAAACTTCATGGCCAAGAGTCATTCAGACAGAACAAGGGGAGGTATGTGCCGGGGTTGTTGTATGCTTTCACCATACTATTCAATCTGTATACTGAGAATCCAAGAAAAACTGGGTTCTCTGAAGAAAAACGTAGCACCAGGATTGGAGGAAGACTCATTGACAACCTTTGATACACAGGTGACACTGAAAACAAAGAGGACTTAAGTACTTATTGTTACAGATCAAAGGATACTGCTTTCAGTTTAGATTGCCCCTCAATGTAAAAAAATGAAACAAAAATCCTCACAACTGGATCATCATAATAAATGTAGAAAAGATTGAAGTTGTCAAAGGTTTCCACAACAATCAAAGCAGCAGCTGAGAAATCAAAGTATTGCACGGGGCAATTCTGCAAAAGACCTCTTTAAAGTGTTCAGTAAAGATGTCAGTTTCAGGACTAAGGTGCTTCTGACCCAAACCGTGATATTTTCAGTCACCTCATACGTGCAGAGGCTGGTGGACAGTGAACAAGGAGGACCAAAGGGGAGTTCATGCACTTGGATTATGGTATTGGTAAAGAATGTTGAACATTCCTGCCAGAATGACAAAGAAATCTGTCTTGGAAGAACAACAGCCAGATGCTTCTTAGAAATAAGGTTGGCATGATTTGCTCTCGCCACCTCGGACACGTCATCGGGAAGGACCCTGACAGGTGCTGCTAAGCCGCATTGTCAAACACCAGGCTCAGCTTCCTTCAGATTCGTGCCTCAGAGAGCCTGTCAGCTCCTGTGTGTCCCTTCCACCTCCAAGTTCAAGTTCACAAGGACAGGCTGAGTACTAGAAGTGAAATTCCTTCAAGATAAACCAGGGACCACCTGCCCTGCCGCAGACACGTTTCCTCTGAGCTGCTGCGCAGTGAGCAGTGACTGGGTGCTTGTCAGAGATCATACATAGGTGAGACGGCATCCACCCCACACGGTGTCTGTCAGCTAGCCTTGATGTGAGCTTTTACCAAGGTCACAGCATGCAAACCCCATTGCCAAGGGACCAGGCCGCCCTTCCTTGTAACTCTGCATTCTCAGAATTGGCACTTTGTGTATCCCCTGGATTTGGAAAGGCTTGTTGGAGCACACAGCACAGGAAGACCATGGCCACACTTTCCCCTTCAGTTCACTGACTGTCAGGTACCTGATGGGGCACAGGTCAGGCAGCACACAGGGACCAGGTGGGGACGAGGATGGCATCTCCATAGGCGGGGGGGACAGGCATACATTTCTCCCAGAACTGGAGAATGTGGACCTTTCAGAAGAAGGATGCCACCCGCAAGCCTCAGGAGCAAGTGGCTGTTGCTGTGAAAACGGAGTTTCTGGACCCTTCTCAGTGAGCCTCTGCCATGGAGCTGCTGGGACTGCAGACGCAGACGAGTTGCAGTGGAAGGGGGGTGGGGGGCCAGGACAGAGCACGCCCCCCATGGGTCTGTGACTGCTATTGCTCTGGGCCCTTGGTCTGCTCAGGTGCCGCATCAGTCTGGTTGGAGGACAGAGTGACAACAGTTTTGTTTTGTTTTTTTAGCTAGTTCCCAGGTTTTCAACTTTGAAAGAGCAAACCAAGCAGCCAAGCAGTCCTGCCCTGTGGTGGCAGCATCCCACCTGATGGGCTGGTGCCTGGCTGGGGTTAAACATCTGTTCCTGGAATTCAGAGGGGTTTGAGCAGGGGTGTCCTGCCGTGCCCATACCCAGACAGGCCTTTGGAAGGACCAGGAGGTAAGTGGGGAAATTTGGAGACATGGGAGGGTGGGTGGGAGGCAGATGCCTGAGACTTGGTCGATTCCCAGAACATAACCTCCATGGGGCCAGGATCAGGTCTTTTTTTCCCCTCCTGTATTTCAAATTCCTAGAATAGGACCTGCCCACACTACAAAATCAGTACAGGAGGCTTGAAAAGTTTGTGGAAAAGTGGAATGCAAAGCCGATGGCATTTTTTTTGAAGCCTCCTTGTTTGTGTTTTGCATGTTTTTAAATCACAGGAGGCAAGGGATAGTGGAAATACACCACAGCTCTAGTGGCCTGTAGCCAGAACTGTAACAGAGGCCCCCAGCCCTAACTGGCCAAAGGCAGCCCACAGCAGGCCCCCCCACCCCACCCCCATGTTTGTATGACAGCTCTGCGCCCAGCTGTGGGCCACCTCGAGACTTGGGGTAAAACTCACACTTCTACGGTGACTTCTGCCACTGGTGGTGGTCAATGCGGCATCCGAATGGCAGTGTCTAAAAAGCCTATTGGACCCCAGCCTTCAGGAAGATGGGTCTGGAGAACCAGACTCCAGGAGTGTTGAGACCAGCTGGATCTCTAAGCTTGGGACAGTGGGAGAAAAGAGGCCACAGCAGGGGAGCTTGGTCATTGTTTGCTTTTGGTGTGATCACCTTTTTCTTTTTGGGTTTACTTTTGTGTGCATGGCAGCGCTGGTGAGTTACAAATTGTAAGGGTCCCACATCTTCCTGGTCCCCTAGAAAGTCGGGCTCATCGTGGCTTGGTGAAATGCTGTTTTTCCAAGTGGGTGGAAAAGTACGGGTTCTGTGGAGGTGTCCCAGGGGGAGAGAGGGCCCGTCCCCTGCGTCCCCCAGTCAGTGCCTTTGCAGTTTAGTGCTCTCATCCCGCCCACGGCAGCACCTCTGAGTGTTTTTCTAATCCAGCGTCTCAAACCCACCTCCTTCTCCCTACTCCCATCTGTGACAGATTACCTGTTTATTATGGTGTTTCATCCTCCATCTCCTGCTTGTTTGCGGATGGACAGGGGCAGGTCTGCTGTGCACGTGGCAGGGAGCAGCAACCATGCTCATTAGTGACAATCCTGTCGGCACTGGGGTGCACCCTCCTGCCATGCCTGCCACCACCGCCCTCTCTCTCCCCATACACATCTCCTCCTCTTCCCAGTGTCATACCACTGACACAGCACAGGCACATGCGTCCTCAAGGCTGGCCTGCAGGAGCGCATGTGTGCCCCCCAGAATACCCCCAGAACCCAAGGAAGGTGCTGACACATCATCTGTATTCTTTCTGCAGTGGGATCTTTATGAACACTATCTGATGTGTTGGGTAGTGGAAAGGTCAAAGGTGTTTCTTTTTTGTCTTAATTTTAATAGATGTTTTGATCATGTGTTTGCTGTGTGTTTCTGGAACAACCACCTGCATCTATAGTAACCCTACCCTGTGTGGGTGGTGGAGGTTAGCACAGGACAACCTGGCCCGAGTCCCCGCCTTTGTCTGAGAGAAATGGTTCTATAGGTGAAGAGTCATCCCCGAGGCTATGGGACAGTCTGCCAGTTCCCCCTGGAGAAAATGAGGTGGAGATGACTTCTGGGGCAGACCTGACTGAGGAAACCCTGCCTCATCAGACAGAAACAGACTGCCTGCCACGGGCTATACACACACACACACACACACACACACACACACACATCATCGTGAGCAGATGCAGGAATGGTGGTGAGTGCAGGTCCGGTCCTCAGGGCGGGCTGAGTTCCCAGATGGGTCAGAGCAGCATCCCTGCCCACACTCTTGTTTGTGCTCAGTGAGTTCTACCCCACAGGCCAAGGGCTGCCCAGTCTGCAGTTGACCCAGATGCTGCCGCATGGCCACACCCAGCTGTAAGTGGTGTGCCGGGCTGAAACCAGGGTTTGTTAGGAAAACAGAGGGGCTGACAGCTCCGGAGATGAGACGCTGCTGCCCTGTGCCCCGAGTGTTTAAGAAACTCGTGGCTTTGGTGCAGGGTCTCCAGCACAGCCCTTCCCTTCTGAGCTGAGCAGAGCCTGCTGCAGGCTACGACATCTCATTGGAAGCCGCAGTCAGACCTGGAAATCAGGACCCTTGCTTCCTGCTCCACACGATAAGGGCCCCTGGGTGGCACAGTTTGTACTTAGCTACTGACTGTAAGATAAGCACTGGACTGCTAGCCACAAAGTTGGCGATTCAAACCAGCCACTCCTAGGAAACCCTACACTGGGTTGCTAAGAGTCGGAACTAAGTAACACTTAACAGCTACCCGTAAGTTGGCTGTTTGAACCCATCCCACACTGCCTTGGGAAAGGCATGCTGAGTAAAGGTTACCAAGAAGAGAAGCTTCTGGAACACATGGGTTCTTCCCCATGAGTCAGAATTGACAGCAGTTTGTTCCTATCCAGTGAAAGTAAATACCTCTCTGCTCCACTCTGCAACATTGTCTCCTGCAAGGCGGGACCCCCAGGCCAGAGAGGGAACTTGCCAGTCTGGGTCTCCTGGTCAGACCTTTGTGAGGGAAACCCACCCTTTAGTGGTATTGCAGGATCTGAGGGGTAAGGGAGAAACAACACACGCACCCTTTTAAGTTGGCTGGGAGCAACCCACACATGAAGGTCTAGAATGGTAAGGTCAACAGTGGGAGAGCTCAGGGGCCCTAGGCCAATCCCTCTTCATCCGCACGCCTCAGTTTCCCCCTCTGTGGGAGAGAATTCTCGGCTGCAACTCGGGGTGATGACGAACAGAGGAGGTTGGTGGTGAAGTTCTCCCACGACTGACACGTTACAGCACTTTCAAATAATATACCACTTTAAACAAGAAATGCCTTTGGCTTATGTAAGATACATGTTCATGGTACAAAATCTGGAAAACAAGGCATGAAAAAGCTGTTCACCTGTTGTCCCCCAGCCCACAGCTGCCCACTATTCTTTTGGTGTGTCTCACATCCGCAGTTCATGTGGGCTCTCCGAGCACCTGTCAGCTGCTCGTGTCTGCTCCAGACACCTGCATGTGTCTGCTCCAGGTCCCACAGGGCTGGAGGGTCAGCAGCCCTTTTGTTACTTCTCACTGGTAGCAGTGCCCACATCTCTACTATTTCAGTGGGCCAGGGACCAGGGCATCCGGCAATGTCTGGAGACAACTTTGCTTGTTGAATGGTGGTGTTACTGGTGGCCCTACAATACCCAGGACACCCCCACCAGAGACTCATCCAGCCTGTCATGTCCCCCATGGGGAAGCTGTTTTGTCTGAGGATGGTGCAGAGCCACACCATCCCACCAAGGGCAGTGAGTGAGTGAGTGCTGGCCCACTCCCCCATCTGACCTCCTCCAGGTAGAGGACGCAGCTAGAGTACCCCTGGGCTGGACTGGCCTTCACTAGGAAAACTCAGGCACTCACACAAATGGGGTCATGCTCCAAGGTCAGTAGGAGTTAGTGAAGCCAGAGGGCATTGTAGGTAGTATAGGTGCCCCAGGAACCATTGGCTCTGAGCCCAGGATTCAGTCCATTCTCAGTGGGTCCAGGCAGGGCTTTCTGGGGGGGTCCAATGTGAGCACTCTTGTCTGGATCCGTGGTTGATGTGCAGCTAGGCGCTGCTTCTACTGCTGATGGCTATGGGAGTAAGCAGTTCTTGACACACAGCTGTACAGAACATGTAGTGCAGGGGAACCATTCTTAAGGAAGGACCTGTGGCCAGACCCAGGAAGCTGTTTCTGCCCAATATGGAGGGAGATGAGTGGCAGGTGAGTCCCACACACAGCACCCCTGTATAGGGGTCCAAGGAGCAGTTTGTGAGCTTGAACCGCTGACCTTGTGGATCAAACCAACTTTGAAGTCCAACACATTAACCTGCAATGCCACACCAGCCTGGATATGGAAGCCTCCCATAGCAACACTGCCCTCCTAACCCTCTCCCCAAGTCCTCAAACTACAGTCCCAGAAGCCCTGTCTGACCCAAGAATCCTGAGAGGAGGGGCAAGCCAGAGCTCGCTCTAGACCACAGTTGGGACTGATGCTCCTCCAGTCAACTCTGCCTTCCCTCGCCCTCACCAGGCTTTAGGGCAGAATCTCCAGCTCAGTGCAGGAATTGGGGTATCCCCACATCCACCCCACCCTTTACTTTCAGCAAGGCCTAGAGTGGTGTGGTCTGGGTGAAGAGGGAAGGAAGTGGGCACTGAAACCCTGAGGTGGGCACGTGCTACCGCCAGCAGATGGCAGGGCAGGCCTCTCTCAGGGTCAAAAGTACTCCCTGCAACCCCTCCGCCTGAATTGCCACCCATTGGAGATGGTTCCGGAAAGCGGAAAGCGTGGGTGATGAGGGGAGCCGAAGGCTGGCTGGGGAACAGGTTTCTGTGGGGGTGGGAGTAGACAGAAAGTGTTCGGTTTCTGGCTTCCTATCCCCTTCTCTACAGCTCCTCTCCTAGCCGGAACCCTAGATGCTGCTCAAAGCTCCTCATTCCCTTCCCTGTCCTGACACATACACCCAACCCTGCAGGATGATGGGTCAGGCCATCCTAGAAGATGAACCACACAAGAGACCGAGACAGGCCAAAACCCTAGTTTATTTCAGCATCAGCAACACCTTAGCCATCAAAAAATAAACTCTACAGCGGTCAACAGCGGAGTCTACAGCAAGGCTAAGGGCTCGGCAGCCAGCGTGGCGGCAGGAGGCGCGGCCCCGCAATAAGTTAGGAAGCGGCGGGCTGGCAGCGGAGCAGGCTCACTTCTGGGCCGGCATCAAGTCGTCGATGGGCTGGCCCTGCTCCAACCGCTGCTCCATGTCGATGAGCAGCTTCACACCGTCCACCACCATCTGCACCAGCTCCACCTCCGAGAAGCCCAGGCGATCAGCATTGGAGACGTCAAAGACCCCGCCCACGGCGGCCGTGTCCACACCACCTGGATAGACACCAGAATCAGGATCCTAGGGAAGGGGCCGTCCATGGTCCAACTCACCTCTTCTCCTGACCCACTTACCTGTGCCTCGCTTCTGCAGCCGCAGCCGCTTGAGTATCTCGGAGAACTTTTCATGCTTGCCCAGGTGGGGCAGCTTGATGTGCACACCAGCCCGCAGGCCCGTGCCCAGGTTGGATGGGCAGGTAAGCACGTAGCCCAGGTGAGGATTCCACATGAACTCGTAGTTCTTCGACTTGAAGAGTGTCTCAATCTGAAGATGGCAAATGGAGCAGAGGCCCCGCTGAGTGATCCACACCACGTGCACCCCTGTCCCTATCGGAGCTGTGGGCCAGCCCTCCTGCCCGTTTCCATCCAGGCTCAGGCAGTAAGCTGACCTGGGTGAGACCATTGCAGAAGCGGGTGAACACCTCCTTCATATTGCCCCCTTTCTGCATGGAGATGACCCGCAGGTGATCCTCCTCATTGATCCACACCAGGAAAGTCTTATTGTCATTGTGCCTGGGGTGGGGGGGACAGACACAGTCTAGCCACCGTTGGCACTTCCAGGGGAACCCTAACCAGGGGAACCTTACTAGTATCGGAACCCCAGTTCCAGATGCACCCAGGAGTGTGACCCCCATCCTTCTAGGGAATCTTTGCGAAAAGGAAGAAAACAAAAAACCGTAGCTCCATTCACCCCTCCTCCAAGCATTAGCTGTGCTTCACACCTCCCCCTCTGGACCCAGCTCCCACATCCCGCTTGAGGTGAAGGGTGGAGAAGGAAAGGAAGAGTTGTAACTGGGCGGAGGTTGTCCCCTTCCCCCCAGGACGTGCACCGTCTGGAGACAGCTTCTGCGTCAGCCAGCTCCTGGCAAAGTCCCCAAGGGGAGAGGGGTGAGAAAGAAGAGCGAAAACAAGAGTCTCCATCTCCCAAGAGGGGGGCGGAGGGGCAGCCAACAGCCCCCGTCCTCCACACCTCAGAGATCCGGGCAGCCACCAGGCGGAGCCAACCCCTTCCCTCACCTGCACTGCCAAGGTCACCTGAGCGCGGAGGCCTGGGCGGAGCCAAACATGGGTGTGGAGGGCTGCCCCTCCCCTCTTCCTTCTCCCAGTGAACCCCACCCCCCACCCCCAACGGGAAGGACGAAAGGGTCGGAGAGCCGGCGCACCAGATGCCGCGGGCGTCGGGCCAGTCGCGGGCCATGCCAGAGGCCAGCAGCAGGGGCGACACGGGCTTGTCAAAGAGGAAGTGGTCGTCTATGAGCTGCTGCTGCTCTGCTTCGGTCATGCTCTTGAGCGCGTAGTACCTGCCCGACAGGTCGCCGTCCAGGCTCGACAAGGCTGAAGAGGGGCGCGTTCAGAGAGCGCCTGACCAGGCTCTGCCCCTTCCTCCCGCTTCCCCTCCCCTCGGTGTCAGGTCAGCGCGGCCCCAGGCCTCGGGTGACACTGGAGTAAACAGAGCGGGAGTGGGGAGGGGCCCCCTACCTTCCACAGCCAGCTTCTCGATGGCGCGGCGCTCCCCGCGGCTGCAGTGTGGAGGGAGGCAAAAGCCGCGGATGCTTCGGCCGGTGCGCACCCGCGAGCTCAGCACGTAGTTGGGGTCCAGGTCATCGCCGCCCTGAAAACAGGGCGGAGCCAAGTGAGCGCCGGCGCCCCCCGTCCGCGCTCCTCGTGCCCCCTGTCCGCGCTCCTCGTGCCCCCCGTCCGCGCTCCTCGAGTCCCCTGCGCCCCCCACCCCGCCACGCACGCACCTGCAGGTTGTCTGGGTTCAGATCGGTCTTGTGCTCATCGCTGGGTTTATAGCCACCGTGCCGGTCTTCGATGATGGGGTCGAAGAGCTCTTTGAACACATCGTACGACTCCTCGTCGCCCGCCACGCAGCCCACGGTCATGATGTACGGGTGGCCTGCGGGGGGGGAGGGGGGGCACGGAACCGGGACAGTGACGTCACTGCAGGCCCAGCGGATGCGCGCGACAAATGGGGCTCAGGGACCTGGGAGACATCTGCAAGTGGGGTGCCGGGGCCCTGGGCATGGGGAAAGCCCTCAGGTGGGCTCTGGGGGCCGACTAGAGTGAGTTTGCTTTAGGACATGACCCGGGGTCGAGTACCCGGGTTGTCCACGCCCGTCTGGATGACGTCGTCCAGCGTGAAGCCGCTCGGCGTGGTCTTGGCGCGCAACTCAGCGTACAGCTCGGGGGTCAGCACCTTGGCCATGTGGTTGTTGTGGCAACTCAGGTCAGGGAATTCATCATCGGCCGGGAAACGCAGCTTCTGCGCGTTGTGGCTGTTGGAGAAGGGCATGGCGGCAGCGGCGGGCTGCGGGAGACTGGGGGTCAGCGACGCCCGGTAGACCACCCCGAGTCTCCGAGCCCGGCTCCGGCACCGCTGTCCCTGGGACGTGGCCAAGGTCAGCGGGAGCCGCAGTGCCGGCGCCGAGAGTAAATGCGGAGACCCAGGGCGGGGCATACCACAGCCCCCCCAAACACACACACACAGCACGTCCCGAGCAATGCTGCCCCACACCCCCTAACCCTTCCGTGTCCCCACGTCCCTCCGCGCCCGAAATTGACCCTCGGGCCCACTCACCCGGCGGGGCGCGGGCTCAGCAGAGACGGCGGTTCCGGGCGCGGCGCTGGAGAACAGCGGCAGCTCTGCGCTGCTGAGGTTCTTAAGGGCCGCCACGAGGGCCGCCTATTGGCCGCTATTTATATCCCATTCATTCCATTGGCCTGTGATGCGGGGTGGTACAGACGCTTTGTCCGCTGTCCCGCCCACGACGCCCCCAAACCGACCTCCCGGTAGTCCCCTCGCTTGGGACCCGAGCATCCCTCCTGGTAGTTCAGGCCCTCAGATGTACTGGCCCACCATCCCAACCCCCACTCTGCCTCTGGACGGGAAACTGAGGCCCGGGAGGCCCCAAGCACTTAAGGAGTCCCGAGCTCTTCCGCAACCCGACTCCTGGCCCCCCTCATCCCACCTGCCCCCGAGTGGTTGAAGCCGAGGGCTGGTGAGAGAGTATCCAGGGTTCTGCAGCAGATATTTCCTCCCCCGCTCCCCGCCACGCTGGCCCGGAGCCGCCGACCTTTCTCAAGGTGCCCGCGGGCATCTCCTGAGCGATCTTGGTGCAGAAAGAAGGCGCGAGGGAGACGCAGTCTGTCTGCGGCCCAGCCCGCGGCGCCCTGACCTTGCGTAAAGCAGGGGGCTCTGCAGAACTGAGCGGAGACCCTCGGGCTCGTGCGGTCCTGGTACAGATTCGAGGGGACAGTGGCCCTAAGAAGGTGTTCGTTCACACAGCCTCCAGCCCTCAACCCCAGGCCTCCCCGTGGGCCCCACTTTCACCACCCACCCCCTACCCAAAGAGCCCAGAGATCCCGGGCAAGGGCTTTGGGGGAGAAAAAGCTCAAACACAGTAAACATGCTCAAGATTGAGATCAGACTCTCACTCCTAATGAGTATCTCGCCAATTTAAACAAGGACCGCACCTCCCCCAACACAAGATTGACGCGAGAGAGCGGGAGGGAGGGAGAGAGGGAGGTGCGGAGGCGCCGGTGTTCATTGCTGCCGAGCAACTGAGAATCCCGACATCCTTTTTGGAAAGTAATTTGGCAGTAGCTATTAAAATTTAAAATGTTCGTACTCTGTGACCCAGCATCCCCACTTCTAGGAATGTTGCCTATGGGGTGTCCTTTTCCACAAACAGACCAGGGGGTTGAGGGGAGAAAGGACAAATCTAGAATAAGCCGGAGCCCGTCGTGGGGGCTTGGCGAGTGTGGATTAGTATGCAGCTATTAAAATGATCCCTTGTCTGGGGCTCTGTGTGAGAAATATCTGCGTTTTGTTGCTAAAAGAATAAATCAAGAAACAGGGGACACAATAGACACTTGAATGTTTGAGCAAATCCTCGGTAACTACAGTGAGCAGAGCACCTAGCGTAGGATGGGGGCGGGGAGAGGGCACCAAGAGTGCAACATGGTGCAGCTGCAGGAAAATGACCCCTGAACAGGTGACCAAGTGACTTAGATAACATAAGGAAATAATACCACTAAGGAGAGGGCGCTGGAGCAGAGACCAAAGGAAGGACAGCCTGGGGACTCTTGCACTTCCCTCCCGCCTGTCCCCAAGCCCTGCCTCCCTCGCAGCAACCATTGTTCCCCACCCAGCAATGGAACAAACTAAAAAGAAACAGGCGAAGGCCCCAGCCAGCAGGTGTCCCTAAGCCCAGAATTCCTCCGCTGTGTACCCCCTGCCTCTGCTCCCCATGCAGCCCTACCCCCAATTTTGGAAATATCTGCAGCTGCCCTCTCCCTCCACTCTCCCAACTCCTCACGGGTTCAAGTTTCTGTTTCTAGAAACTAAACAGAGCTGAGCTGCCACCCCTGGAGGTTGTGGCTTTTCAGACCGACAGGGACTGGGGGGCGGGGGAGTTGAAGGAGTATTCAGGGCTTCCTCTTTGTCTGGAGCGCCTCTGAGGGCCACCCTTCCCCCACTTCGGTCTTCGAAAGGCCCCGGAAGAAGGACCTTCCTCCCCAATTTCTTCCACCACTGGACAGGTCTGGGCGGGCTGAACTTAACCTGGCAGCGAGCTCCTAGCTGGGATCGCCAGCGAACCTCAGGCCCCTGAGATGATATTTTTATTCCCGATTTTTCTGATGAGCAAATAGAACCCCAGAAATTGGGAGGCACAGTACCACGTCAGAGGTCCTGCCTCCCCTCCATGTCTCTGAGTGCCCGGTACTTTGCTGAATGATTCAGGATAATCTGTCGGTCCCGCCCTCAACGCTGCATCCAGCCCCATAGCAGCGGCAGGCCAGCAGTTGGAATGGGGAGTAGAGCAGGACCTTTCAAATGTCAGGGTGCCCCCCAGCAGGCAGGGGCTACTTGGGAGCCGCAATGATCCCCAGAACATATTCCTGGGGCTCCCAGCCAGAATTAGCTCTCATCTGCAGACCCTTGACTGTGCCCAGCGCCCATAGGAGCTGGTTTGGCAGCGTCCTGTGAGGAGCAGGTGACATCATCAGGCCAGTTTGTGGTCCAGGTTCCTCACACCTGGTTTCACATTAACCATAGGCCCTGGGAAGCCTAGGGCGTGCCAGAACCTCAAAGGGCTCAAGGCCTTCCCTGCACAGAACCAGGCATCTCCGTGGGGCGGGGGCCCCAGACAGGGAACCCGGAAGAGCACTCAGAGACTGTGGGGGGATGGGCAACTGGGCCATGCAGCAGCCTCTCCCTCTTCAGTGGGGGTCAGGAGAGGGCCAGGGGCTGCCAGGGGGGATCACAAAGTAGAGCAGTCCTGACCCAGTCCTGCCAGGAAGCACCCTCAGCGCCTCTGTTGCTTCAAATGACCTAACCTTATTCTCCGGGGCTGCTCTGACCTTCCTTCATATCTGCTATTGGTTCTCTGAAGCCAGGTAGACTAACTTCAAATCCCAACGTCATTTTGGACAGATTGGCTGTGTGGCTTTAGGCAAGTTCCTTATCCTCTCTGAACCTCTGTTTCCCCAGCTGTGAAATGGTTCCCCTCCCCCCATAGCATTGTGGGGAGAATTCAATGGGATGGTTGGTGCTTAGCTGCTCCCATCATAGCATTCATTCTAGTGAGCTGAACCCAAGACAGCAAGACAAATGGGAAGTAAGGTCACAGGAAACCAGCACCGAGTCAGCGCATCCTATTTTAGCCATGCCCAGCCTCCACCCCACAGGGATGCTGGGAGGCTGGGAAAGAGGAACTCCTAAGAGAAGTGGAAAGTTGAGGCCCCCCCCAGGGGAGCAATTTGGGTGATTCAGGCACCAGAGAGTAAGTTAGCAGGCTGGAAGGGGAGTGGTGGCGTGGGGTTGGTGTCTCCTTGACTAAGAGCAAAAGGCAAGACATTCCAACCTTGAGGCAGCTGGGACTGGAATGATGACCTCATAGGCACGTGAATCAAGACCAGAGACCAGAGGGAGGCCACGAAAGGCCCTTCACCCATCTGGGGTGCTCCAGACCCAGTCCAGCCAGAGCAGGGCCACACAGGGACCGAGGTCAGGCAGAGTACGGCCCCATGGGCTGGCAGGACTCTGCGAGGCCTGGCCACTCTGTCTCACCAAGGGGAAAGGTTAGTGCCATGCTGCAATGAGTTTCGATGACGGGTAAGACTGAGGAATTCGCACTGACCGCCTAAGACAGGCAGCGTCCCTTAAACAAATAATAAATAAAGGGGAATCTGATGCAGACCATGCAGACCCGATCAGGAGCTCAAGTCCCTGTGGGCCCAAGCATCGCTGACCGTCCAAACCATAGGCTCTGAGGATCAGACTTTAGCCACCTAGCAGACATAGCAAACTGTCCCTTATCTGATTATTCAGTTATGCTGGTTAGTAATTCCATACATGAGCCCTGGATACCCACAGATAAATGTAAAAATCTTCCCTAATAGCCGAGACTGTAAATTCCAAAAAGGCAAAGTTTTTCTCAAAAAAAAAAAAAAAAAAAAAGCTAAAGAGGATAGAGAGAAACTCTGTTAACTGATGGTATGTGGAGGGGATTATAATCAATGTAATGAAACAAGGTATATGAATGTTTGAATGTGAAACCGATGATGTGCCCTGAAAACTTTCACTCAATCCACAATAAAAACCTTAAAAAAAAAAGGGGGGGGGGAAGGTTAGGGGACCCTGGGGGGTACACTCAATGTGATTCCTAACTCATCACCAGCTGGGAAGACACCTGGGTTCAGGCCCAAGTGTGCTGAGGGGGTATCACTCTCCTTCTCTGGTCCCTGGACTACTAATGGGCTGAAGGCAGGAGGAAGACAGTCAAGTTGCCCCCACACAAGCCAGGACCCAGCTCTGATACAGCTGGGTAGAGATAGGACCCCACCCCCACCCTGTCTATGAACCAAGAATGTTGAAAAATTGAGGACACTGAAAAGGTTTTTAGCTTAACTAAAGTATAATAGAACTATCTTGTTGTTTGTTAAATATTGTGGAGTCTTTCCCAACTCATAGTGACCCTGTATAGCATTTCCAAGGAGCGGCTGGTGAGTTTGAACCACCAACCTTGTGGTTCAAAAAAACCTTGAGGTTGAATCCTTATCCTGTGGTACCATACCAGGACTTCTAAGAACTATCTTGGTGGTGGTGGTTGTGTGCCGTGGAGTTGGTTCCAACTTATAGCAACCCTGCATAGGGTCCTTGTTGTTAGGTACCATCAAGTCAGTCCTGACTCATAGCGACCCTATCCACAACAGAATGAAACACTGGTCCTGGGCCAACCTCACAATTGTTGCTACCATTGATGCTGCCCACTGTGCCAATCCATCTCATTGGGGGTCTTCCTCTTTTTCTCAGACCCTCCACCTTACCAAACATGATATCCATCTCTATTGACTGGTCCCTCCTGACAATATGTCCTAAGTATGAGAGATGAAGTTTGGCCATCCTGGCTTCTAGGGAGCACTCTGGCTACACTTCTTCCAACACAGTTCTGTTGGTTCTTTTGGCAGCCCGTGGTACTTTCAATAGTCTCCTCCAACACCATAGCTCAAAGGCATCAATTAATTCTTCTATGGTCTTCCTTATTCACTGTCCAGCTTTCGCATGCATATGAGTTTATTGAAAATACCATGGCTTGAATCAGATGCACCTTAGTCCTCAAGCTGACATCTTTGCTCTTCAACACTTTAAAAAGGTCTTGTGGAGCAGATTTGCCTAATACAATACGTCCTTTGATTTCTTGACTGCTGCTTCCGTGAGTGTTGATATTTGATCCAAGAAGAATGAAGTCCTTGACAACTTCAATCTTTTCTCCATTAATCTTAATGTTATTTATTAGACCAGTGGTAAGGATTTTCGTTTTCTTTACATTGAGGTGTAACCCATATTGAAGGTTGTGGTTTCTGATCTTCATCAATAAGTGTTTTAACTCCTCTTGGCTTTCAGCAAGCAAGGTTCTGTCATCTGCATATCACAAGTTTTTAATGAGTCTTCCTCCAATCCAGATGCCACGTTTTTCTTCATATAAACCAGCTTCTCTGATTATTTGTTCAGCATACAGATGGAATAAGTATGGTGAAAGAATACAACCCTGGTGCACACCTTTCCTAATTAGAAATCATTCAGTGTTCCCTTGTTCTGTTCAAACAACTGCTTCTTGGTCTATGTACAGGTTCCTCATGACACAATTAAGTGTTCTGGAATACTCGTACTTAGCCATGTTGTCCATAGCTTGTCAGGATCCACACAATAGAAAGCCTCTGCTTAGTCAATAAAACACAAGTAAACATCTTTCTGGTATTCTCTGCTTTCAGCCAAGATCCATCTGACCTTAGCAATGACATCAGTTTAACTCCCTCTGTAACCACCCTAGACAGAAAGTTTGGCTTGAACCCTAAACAGAGTCGCTAAGAGTCTACTTAACAACATCATTTGCATCTCCAAAGCAGAATTTGTGAGGATACAAAGGGAGCAATTCTCCTCCTGGGAATAAAGGGAAACTCATCAAGCAGAACACTCACAGACAAGGTGACCTAACTCTTATCTACAACGCACATCTGAGTCCCCTGGGGGGCTGTCTCAAGATAGACAGGACCATGCCCTGTCCCTGGAGGCGAATTTAGTTCATTGGTAGCTGGTTTTGAGGACTATTGCAGGACTGAAGAAAAACAGCTTGTGAAAACCACTGGTAACCACCAATGGGAAAATGAACAGTGCCTGTTCGAGGGTCAGCACACAGGAGACAGCAGATCAACAAGGAAGTTCCTGAAATTCCCTGAGCTCCGACCCCATGTCCGAGATCCCTATAAATCCTTCTTCCCCTTTTGCCTCTGGAAGGCAGATCTGGGAGGTTCCCACTCCTCTGTCCCCTTGTAAGGCTACACACTAAATACTTTGCTTTGAGCCGTGTCTCTCAGTGTTGGCTGTGTTAACCGCAGGTGATAAAAATCCTTTTTACGGTATCACCCAGACTCCAAAGTGACCTCGCTGATGAAAACGCTCGACTGTTGGTACCCCGTGGACACAGCTCCTCCCCCTTTGCAGCAGTGACATAGAGGCTTGGCTTGTGGGGGATGAACCCTTCCTGGGAGGGGTTGGGGGCCCAGGGCCATCTGCCGCCCGCCAGACTCCGGCTGAGCGCAGCGACCCGCTTTCACTGGTGACCCGAGCCCAGTCCTTAGGCTCACTGAGCGATTTGGAAGGACCTGTCAGGGCGGGGCCCAGAGCTGTCGGCACCTCGGCACCATGGCAACGCCCGGGCATGCGCCCCACGGTCCAGAGGACACAGGCCGGCCCCACTGAAGGGGGAGCAGGGTTCTGTCCTCTGTCCTCTTTGGAACGGTTTATTAGGAAGGAAGCGGCCGAGGGAGTGTCCTGGGATCAGGGGTGCGCGGCCCCGACATCCCGAGAACCCGCGCGCAGCGGGGGCTAGACAGGTGTGACGTCATCCGCGCGCGCCGCGCCGGAGCCGGAAGTGTGGGTGCCGTTGCCGCGCGGTGTGGAGCCACGTGTGGCGCCTCAGAGAACTGGAGCCGCGGAGCTCCGCGGGTGAGTTCCCGCGGTGACCGACGGTGACCGCGTATAGGTGGGCTCTCCGAGGGCCGTGCTCTGCCCCCCAAAAGTTCCGGGACCCCCCACCCTTCCGCGAGAAGCCCGCCTCGGGGGAGACCGGGAACCGTCATTTCGTAGAATTGAGCCTCCCTTGCAGGTGACCACTGATAACTTGCTGCACCCCCAAAGACCACCCGAGTCTCACCCTCGGGACTTGAAGCCCGGCTTCTGGAGGGTTGTGGGAATTTTGGAGTCCTCCTCTGCCGCCTGCCGGCCGTCTTGCCTCTATGGTTTGGGGCTGATGGCCTCGATCTCATACCATGGAGGGCTTCAGCTGCCAGGCCCGGGCGCCGCCCTGGTGACTGAAGGTGGCCGCGTGTTGGGCAGTGCCCGGGACTGAGCTCCCCCACCCCCTCGCCATCTCATGCGCGCACACGCCCCTTCCCAGGCCCTGACACCATGAGCTTCGTGGAGTACGAGGAGCTGATCAAAGAGGGCGACACAGCCATCCTGTCTCTCGGCCATGGCGCCATGGTGGCTGTGTGTGTGCAGCGAGGGGCTCAGACACAGACCCGGCACGGCGTGCTGCGGCACTCTGCCGACCTCATCGGCCGCCCCTTTGGCTCCAAGGTGACCTGCGGCCGAGGCGGCTGGGTGTACGTGCTGCACCCCACGCCTGAGCTCTGGACCCTGAACCTGCCTCACCGTACACAGATCCTCTATTCCACCGACATTGCACTGCTAACCACTATGCTGGAGCTGCGGCCCGGCTGCGTGGTCTGTGAGTCAGGTAAGTGTTGAGTGCCCGCCACCGAGAACGTGACACTGAATTGGTGGTCAGAGCCAGCGTGCACTCTGATTCCCCGAGCTGCCCGGGGCAGGCCCACCTGCTTACTGACTATGTGCTAGCCTAGAAGAAGGTGACTCTTGTTTCCAGACTGGGAGGTGGGGAGGGACCCAGCATGGCCATCTCTGTGTGAGCAGGATCCCCAGGAAGCCCATTAGTGGGCGGGGCTGACACTCAGTTGAAAGGTGACTGATGGGAGGGGCCTAGTCTGGTAGCTGGGAGGCAGGTCTTGCTTTGAGTTGCTACAGGTGCTGACCAAGGTGCTGACACACACACACACACACTCCAACTCTTTAGCTCTGTCTTTGTGGAGGCCAGGAGCACGTGGTCTAGCACTTCCTAGTAGTAACCAGCAGAACCCCGAGGCTGCTCCGAGGGGTGACACATTGCAGTTGGGGCCTGTCCCGTACCCGTCCATGGCAACAGCTTTTCCTGTTACTCACTTTTGACCATCGCTGTTGACCCGAGGCTCCCACTTGCACATATAGCTAGAGTTGGAGACCCCTGAGGAGACCGAATAGGGCCCTGATTTATGGTTTGCCCCACTAGGGCCACCCCAAGGTCTTCAAATGCTGCTGCTGATTTCTTGAGGGCAGCAGCATACGAAGTCTGGCCCAGCCCCCTCTGGCCTCAGTTTCCCCTAGTGGAGGGCAGGGTGGGTGCTGTGGCCCAAGGGATCACATTGAAATAAACACACCTTGAGTAGAGGGCAGGGCGAGTTGTGCCACATGGGGTGGAGAGGTGTGGAGAGCAGCGTCACTGTCCTGTGCTGCCTGCACACCGCACTGCAACAACGGGCACCACTGAAGCCTCATGTGAGACTGGCCGTGTGTGTGTGTGTGTGTGTGTGTGTGAGAGAGAGAGAGAGAGAGAGCGGGTGGCCTGAAGGGGCTCTCCTGCAAGGTGGTCTAGGGGGACCTCTGACTGAGGAGGGACACAGGAGTTGGAAAGGAAGTTGTTCACTCTTGGGGAGACTTAAAAGGCCCTGAGGCTGGGGTGCTGCCCTCTGATGCCTAGCTGCCCACAGGCACCGGCAGCGGGTCCGTATCCCACGCCATCATCCGCACCATTGCACCCACGGGCCACCTGCACACGGTGGAGTTCCACCAGCAGCGAGCAGAAAAGGCGAGGGAGGAGTTCGAGCAGCACCGAGTCAGCCGCTGGGTGACCGTGCGCAATCAGGACGTGTGCCGCAGTGGCTTCGGTGTGAGCCATGTGGCTGACGCCGTCTTCCTGGACATCCCGTCACCCTGGGAGGCCGTGGACCATGCCTGGGACGCCCTCAAGGTCGAAGGTGCACAGTGGTCTGAGTGGTGGTTGTCCTGCTGGGGCTCCTGGGAATGCCACCTGGTAGGGAGTGAGTGAGGTGTCAGAGAGAGGAGGCTGCCCCCAAGCCTGGGATGGGTGAGCTCAGGTCGGGGGGGGGGGGACATGGCAGGTGAATGAGGCAGGATCACATCCAGAGTGTACGGAGATCAGGGGTCTCAGACTAGCCTTCTCTTCCCAGAGTTGGAATAAGCAGTCTCTTCCCCTCCCCCAGAAGCTACAGGGCTGGCCGAATCCTGCGCCTTTTAGGGGAAAGATGCCATGTGTGGGTGGAGGCTGCCGTCGGGCGGGCTGTGGCCCTGAGCCAGGCAGGCAGCAGCAAGCCCAGGGTTTTTTCCTTTTCTGGAAAAGAAGCTGGCCCAACACCCAGGTGCCCCTAGAGGGGCTGAGCATGGGGGAGACTGGATGGGGGGCTGGGACCCAGGGTGAGGACCAGGCCCAGCTTGGAGATAGGTCAGTGTTCAGTGGTCCCCTGTTCTATCTCAGCCCAGACTCACCCAGGACGTGGTGTCCCTGGTGTCTAGAGGGGTGGGGAGAGGACAAGAGGGCCCTGCCTTTCCCACTTCTCTGCCCCACCTGTCTCCCGACCTCTGATCTCTGTCACCCGACCTCCACACTGACAGGAGAGTCCCCCATCCGTGCGCCCCACCCCCACCCTCCAAGCCTCTTCTCTGGGTGCTTCCCTGGCAGGTGGAGAGGGGGTAGGGGGACTCCGTGTGCCAAGCAGCGTGAGCATTTGGGCATTTCTCTTTCTCCGGGAACCTCCTAGAGAGCAGGGACCCCGTTAGGATTGGACCCAGGGTCACTGGAGCCAGGCTGAGTGACAGCCTGGAGGAAGTGGCAGGAAGGGGCTGTCTGTGCTGCCCCCGCTTGTCACCTTCCAAAGCCCATCTGAGTGGGTGCCTGCTAGCTCCCAGGAGCCAGTGACAACCGACAACCTCTAATTTCCTGTAACAGCCCCCGTCTGCCCCGCCCCCTCCAGCCCTGTTACCGCAAGTGTTTTTGAAGCTGCTCTTGTGGGATCCACCCCCACCCCTCTGTAGCATTCCCTGCCCTGGGGGATTCGGGGTAATGTCCACAGAGCAGCCAGCTGGGCAGTGACCCGTGGCCCTTCCCATTGAGGCTACGTGAGGGGACCTTCAGCCATCTGTGGCCCAAGGGCATGGAGTTGAGGGGGGGGAGGCTGGGGGTTGGTGTGGGTGCCTTTGCCCTGACTCCACTCCACCTCCCCACAGGTGGCCGCTTCTGCTCCTTCTCACCGTGCATCGAGCAGGTGCAGCGCACATGCCAGGCACTGGCGGCACGCGGCTTCGGGGAGCTAAGCACAGTGGAGGTTCTGCCGCAGGTATACAACGTGCGCACGGTCAGCCTGGCCTTGCCTGACCTGGGCGCTGGCCCTGCTGAGGCCAGCCCCTTTCGTAGCGGCACACCCCTGAAGGAGACCGTGGGCCACACTGGCTACCTGACCTTCGCCACCAAGACGCCTGGCTAGCTGGCCACCATCAGGAGAACCGTGGGGCTAGGGGACAGGGGGCCGGAAGGACCTTCACATTGGGGTCTAGGAACCTGGAGGATCTTGGTACTAGATTCTGCCTTATAAGGCCAGTGGTGTCTGCCTGGCCTGGCCTGTGTTTAGAAAGGGTGAGCGGGCGGGACCAGGGCCTCCTGCGGGGCTGCGTGTGGGGATCCAGCCTCTGTCTGCCCAGCCTGTGGGCGGGAGCCTGGCCTCTGGGGAGCTTCCTTGGAATCCTCCACGGCTGCAGGCCTGCAGGGAGGGGCCCAGCCTCTGGCCCTACGACCAGCCGCCTCCGGTGACAGACACCTTCCTGAAGAACTGTGTGTGGAAGAACCCCATAGAGAAGGAGAAGACCTATGGGAGGCACTCTGAAATCTCCTTCAAGACCCTGTTGGGCCTCAATGCTGGGTGGGGCATCAGAGTAGAGGGGCCAGGCGGAGCCTCAGCCCTCATGTGTTGCCACCCCTGCCAGCCTGATGAGCAATAAACTCAGCTGCCCCTCACGCTGGTCCTCGCCTACTTTGCCCACTTGGCCCCCCACTTTGCCTCCCAGGGACCCTGGACAAAGGGGTGAGTGTGTAGTCACCCAGCTGGAGAAAGAGTCTTTGTCCTTGGTGACGGCGGGTTGGGAGGTGGACGTGTGTGGACACACGTGAGAAATCCCTGGACCCGCCTTCTACTGCTTGGTGGCATATTTACTGTCTGCAGCCTGGACTGGAGGCCCATCCTCCAGAGTCTAAGAAGGTCCCAGTGGGGTGCAGAGCATGGGTGGGTGTGGAAAGACCAGGACTGTCAGTCCCCTTTCCCTGGTCCCTAGCTTGGCCTCTAACCCATTCCTGGCCACTTTGGACTGGAGTCGCCTTGACCTTTAACCAGTTAAGTTCTATGTCAAGTGTTCTTCCAGGAGAGGGGATGATGTCTCCCCCACTTCCACAGCCTACCCTGACTTCTAACCCCAAGCCTTGCCCTGGGCAGAGGAGAGAGCTGGGTCAATGCCAGGTGACCTAGGAAGCATGGGCCTTTTGGAGAAGGCCCGGAGACAGGATAAATACCTCCCCGCACCTGGGAATGACCTCTAAATGCAGCCTGCTTTGTGTAAGCCACTAGAGGTACCAGGAGGCAGACCCCTCGGCTCAGCACTGAGAGGGTCCACTGCCCTGGGGTCAGGAGATAGTCACCTGCCACTGCCAGACCCAGTGTGGCCTTGCCCTGCCCTCCCCACCACCCTCCTTTGGCTCTCAACCTGCAGCAAACTCCTGCTCACTCTACACGGTCCTGCTCAAATGTGCCTTTCTCAACCCAGCTCTCCCAGACCTGACAGTGCCCACCCTGGGCTCCAGTGGGGTTGGGACTGTCACCCCCTCCTTCAGGGAGGGGTGGAGCTGGGTGTCAATTCTGCAAATGGGGGGCAAGCCAGCCACCTGAGTCAGCAGCACAGGGCAAAGACTCACCCGGAAACCATGATTTTCCTTGGAAAGCCCCACAAGGTCCTCGCAGGCTGTCCTGCTGCCCTGCCCTGGAAAGCTGACCTGACACCAGCCTTCCAACCTTAGCAAGAAGCCCTGTGCAGGCAGGGTGCCCATGGGGGTGGGGGAGTCTTTGTATGAATCATAGTAATAAAACAAACAGAGGCCAGTTTGGCAGGACATATCCCAGCCAGTGTGACTAGGGGGTCATCTGTCTCATGAGGTCAGGACAGGGATGACTTCATGATGCCTGGGACCCTCAGCCCCCTGCAGTGCAGCTCCCCTAGCCACTGGACTCCTGTGTTCACATCTCTCCCCTCAGGTCTGGGTGCTGGGGGGCTCAGCACCTAAAACGTTAGTGAAACAGACCCCAGGGTAGGAATACAGCCACAGCCAGCCCTCCCCCTGCCCTTTTGGAGATGAGATGGGGGTTCCGGGGCAGTCACTAGCCCAGATGTACACCTCCCCGGCTGCTGAGTAGGGGTTAGCAGGGGTGGGGGTGGCATTCTGGAAGGTTTGTTAGCCAGCCTGGAGGTCCTGCACCCTGGTTGGAAGGCATTGGCTGTCCTGGGTAGAGATGGACACAAAGGTCAGTGCCTGTCCTCTGCCAGCCTCCAGCCTCTCATATTGGCTGGAGGGCAGTGGAACCTCCTGGACACTGGAACCGCAGACCATGTTGGGGAGTGGAGTAGGGACAGACATGGTGCCTGTCCCTGGGAAGTGAGCATTAGAGCTCAGGAAACATCACCATCAAAACCGGAGCTGCCCACAATGCCTCCAGGGAACCATCCCTTCTCTTCCAAATTCCAAGGACAGAAGTCTGGGGCTGCTACTGGGTCCATCTGAGAGAGACCCTGTGGGACCTCATTGGGACTATTCCTGGAAAACCCTGGCCACGGTCTCTCTGTGCTTAGCTGTGTTGGTAACCGTGTAGGTAAACAAGGACACTGCTTGGGCCCTGGCTAGACACACGCCGCTCATTGGACCGGCACAGCCTCTAAACCACTATACTGGGCTCCACTCATTCCTCAGGGCATTTCCAAGGCTGTCATCTTGAAGGTCCTCATGTGTCTGCGACGGTGGCAAGCCTATGTCCAGGCACTGCTCTGACACCTCATGTGCCACAGCATGCCATGTGACCAAGCCCAAGTCAATGGGAAAGAGAAGCGAGGGGTTTCAGCTGCACTGTGAAAGGCCAGGGGGCATAAGTGTGGGGTCCGGCCAAGGTAGGAGCTACTTCCCCTCAGCCACTGCTCCTTGCACTTGGGCCCATTTTACAGGTGCAGAGATTGAGTCTCTAAAGGAGCAGCCCCTTCTTTGAGATCCCCAGCTGCAGGCTCAGAACAGGCTTGGGAGCCCCCTTCCCAGGTGGTGTCCTTGAACTGGTCCCTCACCGCTGAAAGGCTGGCTGAGGACGTTTCAAAGTCAGGCAGCCTCGACACTGTCACCGGCTGGAGCATTGTTCCCACCATGCTGAGAATAGCTCGGAACTGGGTCACGCTCCCTGAGCGAGTGAGGACTCAGGTACAGCCTCCAGCCTTTGACTCATCTGCTTTCTCTCCCTGACATCTGTCCCTTTAAAGGGGCCAGGTGGGCACAGTTCTAAAAGCAGGAAGGTGAGAGTGAGGTGAGGGCTGTTTATATTGGAGCCCCTTCCCAGCCCCTCTTCTACTCGGTCCACTCTCTGCAGTCGGAGGGGACATCCAGGAGAGGCCCCTGTCCCCGCCTGCCCCAACCTCCTGCCACTCCCTGTAGGCACCCTGTTCTTTATCTCCTGATGCCTCTGGTTGGCCATCCTCCACTGCCCCGTCCTCTGGCCCCTGCACCCCTCCTGGAGGAGCAACAGGTACCATGCCCCTCTGAGGACTCCGGGGTTCCTAGTACCTACTCGAGGTGTCCCTCACCACCTGGCTTGTGCCACACCCAGTATCCTCCTCCCCCCAGCCATGGCCTTTAACTCTTGGGGGGCAAGGTCTCACCCTCCTCAACTGTTCTGTCTCCATGCTCCTTTCAGCCCCCACGCAGCCCAAACATGGGGAGGGCCTTAGGATTCCAGCATCCCACTCCATGTGGTCTCGGGATAAAAGGGGTACCGATCGGGTCTACCATTCACTTGCTGTCCCTCCCAGAGTATGTGCTGTCAGTCGCCCTCTCCCCAAGGGTGGCATGTCCAAAGCCAGCTTGTACCAGCTGTCTGGGCCTGCTCTTCTCCCTGCTGACTGCCCCGTCTGACAACTGAAGCCACATGCCACTGAAAGTGTCCTGAGCTGAGGGGCAGACAGAGTCTTTGGGGCACACCCAGATCAAACCAGGGCCATTCCACAGGGACACGTGAATGACTACCCTGGGCTCTGTGGAGAGTTCTCATCACAGGCTCACTGTTAGGTACATGAAGTCAGATTCAAAGTCAGTGCCCCCATCTCCTGGGAGAACCTCAGGGCCTACCCAGACCTGCATCACGATCTGCATATAAGCCAGATGTTTGGTAATCTTTGTTCTATCTTTGCTTTGTTAAGTAGGAAGCTCAGAACCATGTGGCAAAAAGTAGACGGAATTTCATTTTGTTTTCTACTTGGATTTTATTTTTTAAAACTTTTTATTGTGATTTGAATGAAGGTTAACAGCTAAAATCATCAGCTTTACATTCAACAAATTATATGTTTTGTTTCATCTCTATGATTACAATCCCTTCCTACAACAGTTACCCTGCTTCCTCCCTGTGGCTTCCCTTTTACATCTGATATTTCACAAATGAACACAGCAAACATGTTTGATGCACACATACAAAACAAAAAAATACATATTCATTTAAATGTCCGAAAGCCTGTTCTGCAAACTAGCCTCCTGCCCACAGGCTCACGGCCTGACTCAGCCCATGGGCCCAGAGCCTGCAGCTGCTCTGTGTCTCCAGGCCATCGCCTCTGCCACCATTATTGCTGCGGCTGCATTTTTAGGTAGGATCTCACACTCCACTCATGTTCTTCCTTCTTGATTCTACTTGATTTTTCTTGTTTTATTGTGAATTGAGTGAAGGTTTGCAGCACAGATCATCTGTTTTACATTCAACAAATCATAAACTTTGTTTCATTGCAGTGATTGCAATCCCTCATTTACCATCAGTTAAGAGTATTAACCTCTATTCATTTTAACTCTGGCCTTCAGCTTTCCTGTGCCAACCTTCCTCTTTTCATACATCGCCTTCCCCATGTTAACAATTTCCTCTTCCTTTCCACTCCTGACAATCCTTACAGAATATTTATTTTAGCAAGAAAACCTTAACTTTTTGCCACCAGTGGTCTTATACAATATTTGTACCTTTCTGATGGACTTATTCACTCAGCATAACGTCCTCCATGTTCATCCATACTATGAGGTGTTTTGCAGACTCATCATTATTCTTCAGCATTGTGTAGTATGCCATTCTGTATATACCAAAGTTTGTTTAACCATTTTCTGTTGATGGACATTTAGGCTGGCTCCATCTTTTCCCACCGTTCGTTCGTCTGTCAGTATGTGGTACCATGATGGTTTGTGTGTTGCTGTGATGTTGGAGGCTATAGCACTGATAGTTGAAATACCATAAGAGGCACCGATGGAAGACAGGTTTCAGATGAGTTTCCAGACTGTGATAGACTAGGGAGAAGGAGAGATTACTTCTGAATATTTAGTCACTGAAAACCTTAGAACTAGCAGTGGGACACAGTCAGCACCGGAATGTTGTCAGACCTTGTGCCAGAAAATGAGCCCTTTAGTTTGGAAGGCACTTAAATTACGACTCGCAAAGAGCTGCCTCCTCAAAGTAGAGTTGACCGTGGTGATGATGCGAATGGAGTAAAGCTTTCAGGACCTTCATTTGCTAATGGGGAACAACTCAAAATGAGTTCTAAACATCCATTAATAATCAGAACATGAAATGTAAGAAGTATTCATCTAGGGAAATTGGAAGTTTTCAAAAATGAGATGAAATGTGCAGACATCGATATGCTAGGCATTAGTGAGCTGAGAGGGACTGGTAGTGGCCATTTTGAATCTGATAATCAAATGATTTACTGTGTCAAAAATGACAGATTGAAGCGCAATGACATTACATTCATCATCAAAAAACAAACAAACATGTCAACATCGTCTTGAAGTACAATGTTGTCTGTGAGAGGCTAGTATCCATATGCCTACAAGGAAGACAACTTAATACTGCCCTTATTCAATTTTACCCACCAACCACTAAAGCCACTGCTGATAAACTTGAAGAATTCTACCAACTTCTTCAGTCTGAAATTGATCAAACATGCCATCAAGATATATTGGTAACTATTGGTGATTGGAACACAAAGGTTGGAAACAAAGAGGAAGGATCACTAGTTGGAAAATATGGCCTTGGTGATAGAAACAATGCTGGAAATAGCATGATAGAATTTTGCAAGACCAATGACTTCTTCATTGCAAATACCTTTTTAAAACACCATAAAAGACGACTATACATGTGGGCCTCACCAGATAGAATACACAGAAATCAAATTGACTACATCTGTGGAAAGACACGGTGGAAAAGCTCCATATCATCAGCCAAAACAAGGCCACAGGCTGACTGGAGAACAGACCAATTATTCATATGCAAGTTCAGGCTGAAGCTGAAGAAAATTAAAACAAATCCACAAGAGCCAAAAGATGACCTTGAATATATCCCACCTGAATTTATAGATCATCTCAAGAATAGATTTAGACACTAATGACCAAAGACTAGAAGAGTTGTGGGATGA